GGCTGACAATTTTAGGCTCCTGGATTCTAAGTATGGTTTTCCAGACTCCAACCGCACTTTGATTGCCCTAACATAGAAAACTGGGCAGTATCATAAAAGCCTAAACACAGTTGTGGTTTATATCCTAGTAAAAATCCCCCTCACCAGGGATCTGAGTTGCATTAATTTCAATAAATGTGTATATGAAAGTTTATGGAATAAATAATATATGTGAGCTGCGTTACCGGGCTAATAACTGTCTCTTCTCTAAGTCAGTTCATTTCAATAAATCACTATTTACCTCACCCTTTAAGTTTAACGCATAATTTACCGCATAACACAGCAGTTAAATCACTAGAGTTGCATATACGGTATATATATCCCTTAGATTCAACCTTTTCCCTCCAATTTCCAAACCAGATATCCAACGTGATGTTTTCATGTTGGTCTCAGACGAATTCGGATATGCTGCTCTCGATGTTGTCATGAGCTGGAGATGAATCGGCTGGGAATGGTATCCATAAGCCAGTAAGCAACTGCATCATCTTAGGCTCCTGCTCCATCCCTTTCTCCCGGCGTGATGGATCCATTTCAAAATGTAACCGTCACCAAACTGCTATGACCGGTAATGTAAAATGACAGTCTACAAGCAATATGAACTTAACGAGCACACTATTTACTCTAATCTCTGATCAGAACATTAACCACTAAAACAACAATATTGTCGGCATCCGAAGACAAGAAGAGAAAGTGATGCTGAATATATACGTTTTAAACGACCTTGACAAACATTAAATTCATTGATTAGTTAGAAGAGTTAACGACCAATGAGGGTTCGGCCTTCAAAAGCAGTGGGAGAAACAATGGCTAGCAACGGCCTCAAGAGGGCGAGGCAACAGCAATAATGAAGTCATTTTAAAGTTATATGCAAATATCAGGCAAAATTTAGGCAAACTTAGAGGTATATAACAGTATGAAACATATATTTGTGCATCAACTATTTTTACTAAATGACAAAAAACCTGAAAGGGGACATATCACATAAAATCTATCCGTTAATCTAATTTGTGAATACCTTGAAAGAATAATGTGCACATAAAGAGAGAAAGTAATGAGATGAAAAATAAGAAATGGAGGAGAACCAGTCAAAAGCAGTGAAAAATAATAAAAGGGAACAAGGAGAAATGATGAAGTGCTGAATTCAGTATGAATATTAAGATGAGATGATGTGTAGATACAACTATACCGGAGAGGTCGATTCCTGCCAAAATTTTAAAGCCAAATCGTAACTTAGTTTGGACACCAATAGACCTCGAAATTTTTTCAGTATACATAAAGTTAGTATGAGTTACAAGTATGTCTAAAAACCAGTTTGCGATATCCATCGTTTCTGCTTCACCAAATAATGAGCACATTTAAATTCTGTAACCTCAAAATATAACACTTCATTTTAGTATTGCTTTACTTAAGATGTCATTTCAGAAAAACATTGATTAACATTTAAAGATGAAAAAGTACCTGCTGACGTGCGGCCTTGTTCACCCTGAACTTACGCTCTTACAATAACGGCATTATGTAAAACACTACAGTGACCTGTTGCATTTTAAACTCTTGATAGGAAAATGTTATGTTTCAAAAGCCAAGGGTAATACTCAACGACACGCTCACCTGGCATATGTCTGATAATATAACAGGAATATAAGATATGTATGGGGTGAACTAAGTCATTGGAAAGTAGTTATTTGCTTCTTCTATGTTTACTTTCATTGAAGATTGCAGTTAAATGAAAAACTGTAACCCAACCAGAGACAGATTTACACAAATACAACACTGTACCAGAGATATTTACTTCCAGAGGCATACTATGCTCAATTCACCTCCATTAAGAATAATTTGAGCGCAAAAGTGGTATCCCTGCAGAACGTCTGTGGTTTTTTTCTGAGTAAGGAATTCATATGAAAAATCTTGAGGAGTTAACATTTTAAGTCCTCGGAGAATCCATGCCATAGCAAGTGAATCAATGACGAAATTATCAATATGTAACCTGATGTAATTTCAATATAGTCCGACTTGTCCCAATTCACATCACAATGTAACAATACACAAAACAAAACTGAACAACAGGAAATACAAATTATTCAATCAGTAGTCATAGAATCTCGTCTACAGCAAACAAATCAGGGTGAAAGGAATGACAAAATCTGATATCACAGTGAACATAGAGATAAGGCGTGGATGCATCTACACCACCACCATCAATACCATTCACAATCTCCAACTACCAATCTCACTTGTCGTGTGAACTCCAGCTGTGAAGTCTACACTCCACCAACACACCACATAATCATCAGTCAATAATATCTTGATCAAATGATGACACATTTCCACCTGGTCACCAATAACCATTAACAAATCAACCCTTCTCAGTGTTTAGGACTCGTTGGAGTGTACTATGACAAAGCATACATATCACATATCCCAATCACCTCGGACGGTTGAGGTGTGAAACCTCATCAACTGGCTTGCCTATTTTGCCCTGTATTTATGGTGTAATAGGCATGCTGTGTGTGTGTGTGTGTATTTTTTTTGACAACATGCGGTCTGTGCTACTAAAGGGATGATGTTCAAACATCTAAAGTACTTTATGCCCTCAAATAATAACAGTCATGTTTCATGACCGCAGATTAAGACAAAATAAACTGTTGTGCAGTTCACTGGACACTTAGAAAGCACTCAAGTATCTGTTATGCCACAAGTGGCATTTGTCAGCAAAAGACTCTCAAGCTTACTTTTTCTTTCATACCCGCATACTATCTCAAAATTGAAAACGGGTTTTGTAGTATTGATGCCATATACTACGAAACTGACCATAAGTTTTCTTTTGAAGCATTCGTCGTATTACAGAAAAGATATTGATCTCTGGTACGGAAAGTATAACTCTATCTTTTATTTGGATACTGAACAACTGCCTGGTTTGAGGGCATTATCATTTCGCTTTCGTCTCTATAAATTACTATTCAAAATTTGTTGTTATTTATGAAGTAATTGCTAATGTATATTATTATTTATTTTTTATTTTTCCCTTGGGTTCCAAGTGGAACACAGGGCTTCAGTAGCACGCCCCCATTGTGCTAAAGTATTCCTCAACAATCAAGTAGTGACATTTCCCTAATTACATTTCGAAATCCGATGATTGCTCAAAAATACTTAGTTTTCACTGCTTTTACAATTATATTTCTTCTTCGTTATCATTGGATATTATTCACACTCTGAACACTACCAGACAAAGATAATTGTACATGATAGGATGATAATCAGTTAAACACATCATGAAATAGCCATGAAACTGACAACTGGATTGACTTTGAAGTCTCTTTCTAAGCAAATGAAACTTCGACAAGTAATAAAGCTACCCGACTACTAAACTTACTACTCAAAAACAGAAATTTATTGAATCCCGGATAAAAGTATTTGGCCTTAGCCTTTGAAATAGTCATTTACTAAATGACTTCTGTTTTGCTCAACACGTCAACTATTATACACATTTACTGTAATCTCCAGATGGTAAACACTTCAGTGTTCAACAACTGAATGCTGATGAAAGTATGTAAATAAAAACCACAGTTTGACCATTGAGCTGGATCACACTATATCCAGATGTCACGTGTTTGTTTTAAGTCATCTTAAGTCAATCAATAAGAATGCTTGTTTATTCAGCTTCCTGGTCAATGACCATTCACCGAAATGACGTTTCCGCAACCTTCAAAGAAAGTCAAGTTTTGTTTAATCTTTGCAAGAGAAACGTTACATTCTGATAAAGAACAGGCTGTGAAACAACACAAGTAAGGCTTCCTAAAAAAGAAAGTATAAACCATATTGAAAGAAAGATATAAAAAGCAAACAGTTTACAGAATTGACTGGCAGATTTTGACCAGCATGTAGGATGCATTAGCCAGTGACCTTGTGCATAACGCGATTCCGTTTTGGATCCCTTAAGGTCTAAACAGCCTAATGTTAGGATAAATGATTTTGGGACCTAAAAATGCAGGTTTGAATCTCTGGAAACTGTCACCTTTCATAAAGTTGAAAAAAGCCTTGTTAACGAGTAACAACAAATACTAAATCTATGTTTGAGCTTCGTGCCAACTGAATGCCAGCATTAAACACATTTCGACAATCTGCTGCCGGATCCGAACCAGAGACCACCAGGTTACCGACCCGGTGCTCTACCAACTGAGCTACGAAGTCCAACTGCTGACCAGACTTTCATCTCACCTTCAATCACCACCCAGCATAAATACTAGTCGCCCAAACTACGGTTATCTCAGTCATATGATAATCTGTAGTATACCAAGTTCCTAAATATCTGGTTCAAGACTAGGCTTCTAGTGTAACAAAACCAATATCTTTGTAAACAATGACCAATAAAGGAAGTGTATCGGATTATATCTGAACCAATAAAAACGCCTTAGGAGTTATTTATCCAAATCCGTAATTAAAAAGCTCACCCACTATATGTTGCACGTAAACCTAATCCTCAAAAAGTAACTACTCAGGTGCAATACGTGACAGATGCAGTTGGCGAAATTATGGTTAAGATGACCAAAAAAGATTGAAAAGATGAAGCATAGAGTGTATAAAAAATGACTGTGGTCTAAACAATTAGAAATCAGAATTGAAGGATAACACCTTAGAGTTTTTCGCTCACAGCATAGTTGTATCTATGGACCAACAAACTTTCGAGTATAGGATAAAAGAGTTATCTAGTCCATAAAAGCTCCCACTAATTATTCGATTAGTGGTTGGTTGTAGCACGAAACTGTTTTTGAATACATTCAGAAAGTCGGTACACATACGCTGCCTAAATTATATAATAGAAAACAAGTACAATCAAAAAAGGAATGACGGGTTTAGATGGTATTTCAAATATTCTCATAAAAACCTTACCTAGTAAACAGGTGTAAAAATGTAAAAGGAATTACATAAAAAATATTTACACTGGTTAATTATACACAACTTGCCTTGCTTAAAATAATCTCCGGTGCTAAATATTCAGGTGTACCACAAAGTGTCCACGTCCTACCTTTCACGCGCTTAGCAAAACCAAAATCTGTTATCTGTGAATTGTGAAAACACCAAGATTATTGTTCAAAGTGCAGTGAATTTAACATTAAATGATGCAATACAACAGGCCAGTTACTAAAGTGATAATATCTGGCTAATGATGGTGCATGTAAATAATAATGCTTCCACTAAACATTTTAGTGCATCTCAGAGACTAATTATTACCAATAAATGTGTAAGTAATTGATCGAACGTTAAAAGCAAAAAAGTTGAAAAGTGATCACAGATCGAATGGTAAACACATTGTCCTGAATCATGCAATATTTGGTTGGTTAAGGTAAAAAGCTCACACAGTTGATCACTGAACATTAGATTCCCGGTTTATACAGCTTCTATGCTCTTTATTTTTATAATACAGTACGGTGGAATTGCAGGCAGTAAGTTTATCCAACAGACTTTAAAGAGACCTGTATGATGTTCCTGCGTTCAATTTGGTGATGATGTCTAGAGAGTATGTCCTAATTTCAAACACTGGAATATAACAACACAATTCGGTACCAAGTGGTTGGTTCAAATGCTTTCGGTCAAGTGGATGAACAAAGTGAATGCGACTAAATTAACAGAAAGTGACTAAATAGTTTACAAAAAAATTCTTGGTTACTTCCACAAAATGCAACAAAGTCTCATGTTGTATCTTCAGTGACGCTTAGTTTAAATGTTTACACTAACTGAGTACTGAGTAGTATGCAATATAAAAAAATTAAGATATTCTAATGTGCAGTTTATTGACCTAGGAATTTAACCTACAAGCTTTAAGTCATTGTTTCAAACCACGGCTCCGCTTACTCCGGCCTGAGCCATCAGAGAACATCGTAGGCCCTAAATGTTGTTCATTGTCTAGCAACAAAAGCCTTCACCAGGTTTCATCAGGCATTATGTTTTTAATGCTGAAGGAAGCATATTTTTCACCTCTGTTACTTGGATTAATTGGATTCGGTAAATTTTGAAAAAATAGCATGCGAAGACTACGTAGATGTTGAAAGGTTAGTACTTGATGGTTGCAAGAAAATGTCTGCAATCATTTGAAAACATTTTCTTACTATGAGATTTCCAGTGGTATTTACAGTATTTATTGTGTTCATCACGATTTTCTAGAAATCGAACCTCATATTTCATCAAACTAAGCTTTATAGTGAAGATTAGGAAGCCATCTACCTCTTTTCGACTGGATATCTTTCAACAGCTTCATATATATTTGACTAATAAGGTGGAACAGTTAGGACCCAGTGCTGAAAGTGTGAAAATATTTAATAAAGAGATCTACCGTCCGTTGATATTGCTTATATTTTAAATGTTTTATGCAGTTGTGTGGGTCCTTAAAACATGTTGGATGAAATTCTGCGTTAACAGGGTTACTTTTACGGTTGTAATCTCTAATTACAGGGCAGATACACAGGCAAACCCCAATCTCGATTCCAACCTCCTCACTTAGCCTTTTTTCGAGTTTCAAAAAGTAAAATTACTGAAAGCAGTACAAGATTGATAAGTCACTTAAATTAGCTCCATAAATCTCAGGTTCTATCAACTTTATGTACTCTTAAATAATGTAGATGTCGAGTTTATAAACCTAAAGGCATTTTGAATAGCTTAGGTTTAATCAACGTGGCGATTGAATACTACGTGAATCAACCTAGTTTTCATTACCAACTGACTTCAGTTTATTATAAGAGGTAGACAATCAGGAGAGTTGACACTGAATCTTATGATAATTATGGGTAATTGAACTATCAGATTAAGAAACTATCAATTGTCATCTCTCAAATCTCACCAATTCACAATACACCACGAACAAACTCCTGTGTTTATATCACGACCTCTAATAAGGAGAGCAGAAATTCTACTTTGAATTTTTTAGTGTATGTACTTGTACAGAAATGAGTACACTTAAGGGATATGAAAAATTACAAATAACCTACCTAACAAAAAAATGAACTAAGATAAGATAAAACTTTATGTGCTGTCTCGTATTGTTTCTGGTAGGTTTCAAGTACAGCTTATAGTGTAATTAAAACCAATCAAAAAGTGAGAAATTTAAAACTTGTTTTTGACCACAGGATGTAAATAATTTATATGAGCCCTAATTACTTTTCCTTCCTAAAATCTGCATTTCAGTTCACGAAAGTTGAAGTTATAATCATAGTGTTTTGATGGACACAATGTTGATATTGCTAATGAATATATTAAAACAGTAATTATCTGAAAAACTCTAGGAACAGTTAAATTTATGATAACTATACTCAGTCAGCCGACTGACTAGAAAATTTATGAATTTCATCGAACTAATTCCATCGAATAAGTAGCCATACAACAGAATAGATGATGTTCTAAAATTCTGCCTATCGGTTATCCATTAGTAATGTAAATGGTCGTGTGTGTTGTTGCATACATTTTTCCTCCTGACTACCTCGTAACAAAAAGCTGACAGTGTTCGTTGACATCCCCCCGAGAATACTAGTGATAGCAGCTATATGCAAGCATGGACAGAACATAGAACGCGGAAGCGTACGGTATGTCAAACTATGGAACAGATATATAAAAAAAATACAGATGAATTATTGGAATCAACACAAAGCACGTGACATGGTTACAGAATAAACAATATCAACACTGAACCTATAAATCGAAATAATTAGGCAGAGCAGGATCATTAGTTCATGTTGTTGCTATATGTGAAAGCCATATTCAATAACTCCTTGTAGTAAGACTAAAAACAATTTCGGGTACTTGAGAGGATGAGATGAAATCTAGTAACGGACTGAATAACCGTTAAAATGATCGAGTAACGAAGTTGCGGACCCGCTTGAAGTATTCTTTTCAACAGTAGGCCTTGAGTGATGTTGTCCCAAGATGTTGACAACTGAGTTATGCTGATTCTTTTCAGCTGTTTCGCACTCTTTTGCTGCTATAACTCTGAACAATCTGTTTGTTATCTATAAAAACAGAAGACGTGATGGTAAGTACTAGGCAACTGAAATATAATTGGCAAACGTCGGTAGTTGTAAAACCTCAGCACTAAGATTTTTAATGAAACATGAACCACTTCTGGTCACCGACTAAAGTGAAAATGAAAGTACTAACACTATTCTACACACCTACGGATCTCTAAAGACTAAGAAATAGTCTCATATTAGGTGGAGATACATGAAGTATCTCGGAAAGTGGTGAAATTCGCATAGAAATATAGAATGGAGGGGTTAGTGTAATGGTAAAACAGGCACGGATATATTCCTAGCTGAAATATGATATATATATATATATATATATATATATATATATATATATATATATATATAATCTGCTGGGTAATTCACGTGATTTCCTTTAGGTGAGTCTACTTCATATACCATTTTTAGAAGTCAATATTTTCCTCGTGCGTGCAATACACTTGCCGGTTCATTATCTCCTTCACTTAATTTAGTTGGACGTGAGATATTACCTGAGAGTATACTAAAATGTATAGTACGATGATATTTCGCAACGGGTTGGTTGTTGACGAAATCTAAGATCGGATGCACAAAGCAATCTGGCATTGGCCATGGTGTGTCATCTGCTGCGACAGCAGACTATGACTATAAGAAACGGTCATCATAATAGAAAAACATAAAGCGGTTGCAAGGCTCCAATCATATGTGTTTTCACTAACCAAGTCGGGTTTGGTGGAATAAGTGTGAGCAATTATGAGGTCAGGCGAAAGAAACAAGGTGAGAAAGGCTAGACGATTTATCAGGTGTCGATCTTCGGAGAGTTGAGTGAATTGGACACACCTCCACGCCCAGGCCTCAAAAACTAAGACAAGACAAGGAACAGAAACCTGCAAAGACAGAAAAAGCGGTAACGGCGGCCAACGTAGAATCGATGAACTTCTGGACAAAATAATCATGAGTTCGAACAGTAGTAAATCCACTGAGATGCAGTCAACCAGTTATTATTTCCAGTCTTCACACAACAGGTGTGACTCACTGTTTAGTGCGATAACCTACGTGTGACTGTTTTAGTCGAGGTATTCATGAAGGCATTGAAATATTTAATCGAAGATGAAAGTTCATTTTTTATAGTAAAGACGATAAAGACGTATCTCCTCTACTGAAAAAATAAATTTCACTGAAGACAGCAATGTGCAGTTCATTCTTCTTTACCACTGTAATTCATACCCATATAGGAGTTGGAATTAGAATCTCAACACAGATGCAAACCTATTTTAGTGTTTACAATAAGTTAGGAAGAATCCCACGTGTTTTAAGCCGATTACGTACTATATATATAAATAAATTTCTTTTCCACCCTGATTTATCACTCAATACATTAAAAAATTCTGCGTTATTAAGGTGGTATTTTTTTATCACATTTTCACCTGTAGGTAGTTATTTGCGGAATCTTCATGTTTTTATACATTTTTTGCCAACCTGCGTCATGTTAACATAAGTGGTCATTTACATAAGTATAGTTCGAAAAATTATGAGAACCGATATTTATTCTGCTTATTTCAGACTTGCGTAATTTTACGAGATAAGCACGGTTACTTTCTCATGAAAAAAATTATTCGTTATCGGGGTTTGTAGGGATTCGACTGACTTAAAGGTGTTATTCATCAAGGACTGACACCAGGTGGAGAACCAATTAAAGTCAGGGAACACTAGACAGTTGTTTCCTCCTACTATTCGACTTGTCAGTAGTTCGTATCACTTTGATCCAATGACCGTAAACCTCTGAACTAAGTTACTGTCTAATGGCCAATAGTGACATTGTTAGGGATGAATTTCCCGATGTTCAAACAGGAAGGCATAACCTGTCGGGTCGGCGAAGTTTATTTTTAGGGTAAATACTAGCCTATAGCCTCGTGCGATGGTGGTGCTATATTGTGAATCGACAGAAGTAGGAAAATGTGTGCTACTGGATTCCTATGCGTTGGCTGAATGTTTAGCATGCTTGACACGGTAACTGGGTTAGATGCATGGTGGAGTTACTGACAGACGTAAAAAATCGAAGTGGAACCTCGTATACAGCTGTATCGGCTCAAGTCTACACATTTCACAGTGGTACACAAACAACAGATAGATAGAAAAAGACTGATATCAAAGTAGATAAAGTAGTGTGAGACAATAATCAATCTGAAGATAAACACTGGTGCCAATATTCAAGCTTCCGAAGACATCAGGGGATGAATACATCTGGGCCATTGTGACCAATTTTCAGTCATTTCATCGAGTTTTCAACCACTGATTCATTTCGTCCAGGAGAAAAGAACTAGATAGTCTTTATCCCTCCACACTACTCAGACCAACAGTAAAAGAATTCGGTAACTGGTTGCAAGTCTTCGTTTGGCCCTCCCGAACACTCTTATAATATAATCCAGCCTCTCGTATATATATTATTATTATTTCTCCTTTAGGTTCCTAGTTGAACACAGGGCTTCAGTAGCACGTCGCCATTTCACTCTCTTCTCTCAAGTCTTTTGAACCTGGCTCCAAGACTGCCAACATCCTTTCATTTCTTCCTCACACAATCTCCTCAATGTCACCCTCACCTCGGGTGCCCAACTCATCATTTCCCATTTGGCTTCCACTTGAGGGCCTGGACTGGTGCGTGATATTCATAGTCGGTCTTCTCAGTGTATGCCCAATTCCATCCATCTCCACTTTCTTCTGCATATTCGTTGGACGATGGGTTCCTGGTTGATTCGTTGCTAGCCAGCCAACCAGTCAGCCAGAGTTCTTTGTTTCCTAATCCCATTATTCTGGCTATCTGATATTCAGTCGAGAGTGAGCGTAAGTGGTAGCATTTGATAACGCGCCAAATCTCTCGACAATATAAAAGCACTGACTTGCTTGTTATTAGTGTTGAATTCCAGATCTTGTTCACGCTTTATGGTGAGTGCAGAAGATCTACCTCAACACTGGTTTCAGGTTAATGAACGCCTGTCTTGCTGTCTTTCCGATCCTGGCTGCCATTGACATCCTCATCTGTGCCTGTACCGCCCCCTGTAGTTGAAACGATGCTGCCTAGCCCAAAAAGTGAAAGAGACTGCTTCCTTGAGGTTTCCCCCGTTGATGGTGATTGGTGCTTGTTGTGTCTTGTTGTGCTTGTGGTGCTTCTTGATGGCTACGTAATTTCATCATCCCTGTCTTCTCTACATTCATCAGGAGGAAGTCCCATCTTCCATCGCTGCCTCACCTCTTCTGTCAACTTGTTACTTTTTGCCTGAAGATCTTCAAGTGTGTGCAACAGGACGTTAGATATCAATCACCATCTTCATCATCCTTGGCGAAATGCACATCTACTACATTTGGCTTTTCATCGGTCCAGCCAACGCATACCCATATTTTCCTTCCTCACTGTTTCCTGCATGGTCCAGTGCGGTTCAATCGACAACAATTAGGAAGATCATGGGTAATAGTAGGGAGCAGTCTTGTCTTACTCCTGTCTGCACTTCAAAGGCATCGCTGAGCTTCCCATTGTGAACCACTCGGCATGTGGCGTCATCGTATAGCTGTTGAATGAGGTTGATGACAGTTTGTAGCACTCCGCAGTGTTCAAGGAGCCTTTTAATTACTTCTCGGTCGACACTGTGCAGGGTCTTCACAAAATAGAAATAGTTGAGGTGTAAATTTATATATATATATATATATATATATATATACGTGCTTCTATGGTTCAACCACTTTTTCACTGCAAATATGTTCAGAGAACCTATTCATTTAAAGCTGAGATGGATGCAAACCTGAACATCTCTTCAGCTGAAAGCATACGTTTACACCGGTTACACTAACAAGATACAGTTAACTTATTAAATGCTTTGATAAGTATCCCGTTTTTTTCAAACAGCAGATTCCTCCTGTTATTCTGCTATTAATTTGAAAGTTCTCCTATAAAATTCTCAGTTAATATGCTATTACGGAATAAGAAACACATTCCGTTTGGTTGGTCAGTTTCACTTAGAGAGGCTATGAGTCATAGTCGACTGACATGGCTTCGACATGTACTCCACCACCTACTTAAAAGTGCCATCCTACGTGAAGATGGAATAGGTGAGCAGAGTGTTTAGAGAGGCCACAGCAAGACTAGGCACCAGCCGAGGAAGTTGCTGACTGTTAGTCTGAGATGCGTTGAGAGATGTAGACTTCCTTACTATCTCGGTGACAGAGCCGACAGGAAACAGTAGTTCAGAACTCTTAGTGGAATGACTGAAAATTGGTCACAATGGCCCAGATGTATTCATCCCCTGATGTCTTCGGAAGCTTGAATATTGGCACCAGTATTTATCCTCAGATTGATTATTGTCTCACACTACTTTATCTACTTTGATATCAGTCTTTTTCTATCTATCTGTTGTTTGTGTACCACTGTGAAATGTGTAGACCTGAGCCGATACAGCTGTGTGCAAGATTCTACGTTGATTGCATCATTCGTGTATTCAGTCCTTTATGTATATATATATATATATATATATATATATATATATATCATTATTTTCTTAAAATGGTAACTAGAATTTGGGCAAAATAAGTTGTATTCAAGAATGGTAGTAATTATTTCCAACATTTTGCAGAATTTACAATATGGCTGGAAAACCTCACACTGAGTCATTGGCAAGACCATATAAGCACATATTTATTCTCATTCTAATCATTATCGATCCGTGTACGTATGTTTTCAGTTTCTCATGTTTTTCGGCTTATTACGATTCGCCAGTGACTGGATCTTGCAACAGAAATGAACATGTGAAATCAATCTGCTCCATCATAACCCGTTGCATCACGCTTACTTTGTTAAGGATCACATCATAATAAAATAACGATGTATGGAATTCGTGCACACTTATTTTACGAATTTTCGACGAGTACTGCAAAATATGAAATAGTCAGTAATTCGGAAGCAATCCTTAAAAGAATGTTCTCATAACGTTTTTATTTATGCAGCAGGTCAGATTTAAGCTAAACAGTGTCACGAAAAACTGCTGTAACACTATTATTATTACTATTATTATTATTATTTAGTAAAAGCAAAGTATAATACCTTTAAATATCCATACTGATCAATGAGAATATTTTCAGGTTTCAAATCTCTGTAGACTAATTCCAAGTGATGCAAATATTCAAAAGCCAATACAACTTGACTGGCATAGAATCTCGAATGACTTTCACTGTACACAGAAAAAATAGACAAAAGAAAAAAAAGTATTGAACAGTCATATCAAAAGATGGGTAGAAAGCTGACGAATAAGAAGTTTAAAACTAATTTACTGAATACATTCATATCAGTAAAAAGGGTCATTATCGTTACATCTTGTCTTAATGAAACGTAAATGTGAATTTCCTAAGGATCAGACCACAATTCATAGAGCTCTGCAGCGTTGATAGTGTTAGCTTTAAATGGATACACTACTTTTTCTGTGACTGTTAATTTTAAAAAACTCTGACCAACTCCATATGTGATGTACATCATACCTATCTCACACCAACCAACTTGCACAAGTAGCACACTTAAGTTGAGATTGTGGACCCCAGTTTTAGAAACTAAAGATAAGTACTGACTCCTCGAACCGAACAACGACAGTTAGATGATAGCAACATACATTCAACTGGAATAAAATCTTCACTATATCGTAAAGTGGTTAACATTAAAATTGTCATCAAATGAATTGGATGTTGTTAAAGCTATTTTCAACAAGAATAAAATATAAGCATTGTTGATCTGAGAACACGAGAGAACAACTGATCGAATGGAGCAGTTGTTCAGTGCTTCCCATTCCTAAATGATTCTCTAGCCAATGTAAAAACATGTTGAATACGATTCAAGCAATCAATTCTATACAGATTTCACAGTCCAATAAAAATAACAATTATCCATTAATTATGTATTAAAACAGTGAAATAAATGGTGTACTTGGTGAATGAATAAAAAGAATGGAAATATATTTCAGTGAAATAATAGGAGATGAGAACACAAAAAGTACAAAATTATGAGAAGGATAACTTGGTCGACAGATTATGGTCAGCACTCAGGACTGCACAATTACCTCACTTATCAATCTGTGTACATAATCCAGTTATATAAGGGCAGAATTATGAGCTGAATAACTTGTTGATAAAGTCTCCGAGTTGGGGAATAAGTTAAGCGAACTCGAACTGCCAAGAGATAATATATTTTCTGAAGACCGCCTCTTTGCAGAAATCTTGGTTAAGAGCTTCCTGCTAACCAACTCGTAACATCTAACACTTAAACGCTAGCAAATTATGACAAGTCATCATCGGTGGGGCCAAACAAGTCGGACAAGAAGATAGTTACTCAACAACGACACTCGATGGGGGCCGCACAATGTTGTCAGCTGACAGAAGTAGAGACTGTGGACCATTGAATGCCAACGCAGTAGCTCAATGGTAATCTCTGATCGTGGAATCTGAAGGTCCTGAGTTCCACCTCTGGCTGGACTATGGGTGAGCACTGTTGAGCAGTCCCATATTAGGACAAAATAGCTGTCCAGTGTTCCCAAGTTTCCAACGGTTCTCCAACTGGTGTAAGTCCGTGACAAATATCAACCTGAAATCGATTTGCGTCTGAGCTAGAACACATTACTTCACGATTATGAGTCCAGTGCTGCATTAAATTAACTCTGAGATAAAACTGTGAAGGTAGTTGGATTGTCAATTCAGTCACGCGTCATATGACAAACGATTACCATTCGAATGTAGGAAACGTGGTTTCTAGGCTATCGCCTGATTATCTTTCGTAATGAAATTCAAAAAGTGCATTTCATTATATTTCAACCTTGTTGGCTGAATGTATACAAAACATTGCTTTCTGGTTTCTATTGGGATTTGTTTGATACCAGATAAATTAGCTTGAGAAGCACGTATGCGCCTATTGGCCATTTAATCGCTATAGTGCTTAACGTTCAGCTCCCGTTCCAACAAAGAAAGGAAATACGAACTATTAGATACCAACCCAATGGCTGAGTTGCAACCTCCTGGCCACGGAACCTGTAGATCCTGAGTTCGATCCTTACTAGAGCAGGATAACGGGTGAGAACTTCTAAAGAGTCCCATACTGAAATGGAGCAGCTGTCTAGTGCTCCCAGATCTCCAGTGTACCTCCAACTGAAATCAGTCCATAATGAAAACCAACCGATATTCTAAAAATGACTGTTACAAATTCGTTTAGAGAGATTTTGTTTTCTTGCGAAGATAATTCTTCAATAATTTCATAAAGTATTTATTGTTCATCATCATTAACCTCATAATAATTAATAACTTTGAGTCATCCATAACTCCATACGTACTTTTGCGTTCGAATTCGTGTTTTACACAATTCAAAGCTGGTAACTGAATCACAAAATCTCATTTTGAATTCGTACACAAGTTTCTTCAAAAAGTGAAAAGTAGTCGGAATAAAATTTCAAACAAGTCTACATAGAAAAAAAGTGTAAGTTCCAATTTGCAGGTTTATAAGGATTAAAAGATTATAGGGTTGTATGATTCATGAAGTGAAATCAGTTGGAGATCCGCTGAAAACCCTGTAGGACTGAACAGCTCCCTCACCCCAGTATAGGACTACTCAGCACAATGCAAACACACGTACTTCACGAAAAGCAAGTTGAATGATGAGATTGTGAAACATCGTCGGCTGAGATGGTTTCGATATGTCTTCGGCAAGTGGTACACAAACAACAGATAGATAGAAAAAGACTGATATCAAAGTAGATAAAGTAGTGTGAGACAATAATCAATCTGAGGATAAATACTGGTGCCAATATTCAAGCTTCCGAAGACATCAGGGGATGAATACATCTGGGCCATTGTGACCAATTTTCAGTCATTCCACTAAGAGTTCTGAACTACTGTTTCCTGTCGGCTCTGTCACCGAGATAGTAAGGAAGTCTACATCTCTCAACGCATCTCAGACTAACAGTCAGCAACTTCCTCGGCTGGTGCCTAGTCTTGCTGTGGCCTCTCTAAACACTCTGCTCACCTATTCCATCTTCACGTAGGATGGCACTTTTAAGTAGGTGGTGGAGTACATGTCGAAGCCATGTCAGTCGACTATGACTCATAGCCTCTCTAAGTGAAACTGACCAACCAAACGGAATGTGTTTCTTATTCCGTAATAGCATATTAACTGAGAATTTTATAGGAGAACTTTCAAATTAATAGCAGAATAACAGGAGGAATCTGCTGTTTGAAAAAAACGGGATACTTATCAAAGCATTTAATAAGTTAACTGTATCTTGTTAGTGTAACCGGTGTAAACGTATGCTTTCAGCTGAAGAGATGTTCAGGTTTGCATCCATCTCAGCTTTAAATGAATAGGTTCTCTGAACATATTTGCAGTGAAAAAAGTGGTTGAACCATAGAAGCACGTATATATATATATATATATATATATATATATATATATATATATATATATATATAAATTTACACCTCAACTATTTCTATTTTGTGAAGACCCTGCACAGTGTCGACCGAGAAGTAATTAAAAGGCTCCTTGAACACTGCGGAGTGCTACAAACTGTCATCAACCTCATTCAACAGCTATACGATGACGCCACATGCCGAGTGGTTCACAATGGGAAGCTCAGCGATGCCTTTGAAGTGCAGACAGGAGTAAGACAAGACTGCTCCCTACTATTACCCATGATCTTCCTAATTGTTGTCGATTGAACCGCACTGGACCATGCAGGAAACAGTGAGGAGCGAGAAGGGGGGATACGCTGGACCGGGCAAAAGTACCTGGAGGATTTATATTTCGCCGATGAGTTGTATCTGATTTTGCACAAACTTGAAGATCTACAGGCAAAAAGTAACAAGTTGACAGAAGAGGTGAGGCAGCGATGGAAGATGGGACTTCCTCCTGATGAATGTAGGGAAGACAGAGGTGATGGAGATACTCAACCAACACTACCACCAACAACAACAAGCTCCAGTCACCATCAACGGGGGAAACCTCAAGGAAGCAGCCTCCTTCATCTATCTAGGCAGAATTGTTTCAACTACAGGCGGCACAGACGAGGACGTCAAAGTCAGGATTGGAAAAGCAAGACAGGCGTTCATTAACCTGAAACCAGTGTGGAGGTATGTCTTCTGCACTTAGCACGTGGAACGAGATGCGGGTTTTCAACACCAACGTCAAGTCAGTGCTTCTGTATGTTTCAGAGACGGCGCGTTACGAAAGGGATTTCCAACAAACTACATATATTCATCAGCAATTGCCTACGCTTGTTAGTGAAGATCAGATGGCCATAAATAATACGCAACAAGGAACTCTGGGAACGAACTAACGAAGAACCTATCGCTGATCAAATATGCATTGGAAGGAAGTGGAGATGGATTGGATTGGGCATGCACTGAGAAGGCAGACTGGGGACATTACGCGTCATACCACATCCTCGAGTGGAACCCAGATGGGAAACGGCGAGTTGGACGTCCCAGTTGTGTGTGACATGGAGGAGATCGTGTGTGGAGGAAATGAGAGCTTGTGGGCAGTGGTGGAGCCATGTTCAAAAGATTGCAGAGGAGAGAGTTGAATGGAGACGTGCTACTGAATCTCTATGTTCTACTTGGGATCCAAGTGACAAATAATAATAATGACACTTGGAGCACTTGAACCAAATACAAACCTTCGGAATATATGATGGAGTCGCATTGCTTTTGTCGGTGATTTCCTAATTAAATCAGAGGCCTCAGTCTCAGTAAAAGCAGACGACCCCGGCAATCAAAGTACTAAAGTGGCACCAACAAGTTACGACACTGATATCTTAAAATTTTCGGATAGGTGGTTGTGAAAAAGCTTATGGATAGTTAATCGAGTAAACTATTCAATGATTTTGAATTCTACTAACTCACGGGATTTCAAAGTAATTAACTTTATTTCAGCCTAATCAAATTAGTGAGATTATCAAGTTTGATCGAGAAAGAATCTACACGTTGTCGATCTCCAACATGTTACCATATGTTTCATATAGTGTGACTGACATTAATGGTAATCATTCCGCTGAAACAACGTGTGAAATTAGTAGTTTTTAGTGTAATTTTAATTAATCTCTTCGTTTATTGCAATTTTTTTTTATCTAGAGTGCCACATAAGGCTTACATGCCAACATGCCGGCTACCGGAAGTGAGTTTACCTCCTACGTTTTACTAAATGTACGCAAAATTAATAATTACTGTCTATCGTATACTAAACTACCTATTATGTTGAAGTTGATAATACCATCCGCCTTCAGAAAGCTTGATAGATGGTGGAGCAAGCTTTGGGGACATGACCTTTTGGTCAAAAGGTAAGTGTCGAAGCCAGCTGGCCAACTTTCCACTCTTGACACATCTGTAAGATATATTTATAGAATGACTCTATAAGCATCCTGTAGTTAATTGTTCAGGACTTTATTGCTAGCAGTACACATAAAGTCGTGACGTGATATTTAAAAAACCAAAATATGCTTCAACATTTATAACAAATGACATTAACAAAAGTGTTATCAACTAAAACCACATGTAGACTTCTGTTGACAGTTTTACAATGATGTGATCTAATTAAAAGTATTCGTCACGAATCATTATCAACCGTAGAACCAATGAAAATCAGGCAGCATCGGAAAGCTGTTCTGTCCTAGTTTGAGTGCCCTTAAAAGTTCAGACCGACGATCCCAAAACTGTTATGAAATGAAACTATGCAGTTTTGATGTAATTTTCAAATACATCAGTTGGTTCCAGCTACCCACAGCTGATAATTAAGACAGAAGAAAGAAAAACGCCAGCGGATTTATTAGCTACTAGGGAGATATACTACGACAGATTAAAAATACATTATTTTATGGCAAGGATCACAAAGTTATGTAAAACAGTCACTAGGGTGATTTATATAGCCTGTTTGTTAGTAGATCGGTTTGTCGCACTGGTATAGAAGTTGAATGAACACAATTATTTCTTCGAAAATTTCAAGCCAAAACACTATGACAACAGAATAACATGCAGTAGCTTTTTTATAGAGAGAATCGTATTTCCAACCAGAGATCGAACTTAGGACCAACATGTCACCTAGCTGAATACCGATTCATTGCTATCTGGCCACTCGCTTTCAGATAGGTTTTTCGAAGCTCTGACAAGAATCAGTGGCCTGCAGGGTCGACCAAACTGAGTGTGAACTTAGTTATTTATCAAAAACACTGCTCAGTATTTGGTTGGGCTTTGAAATGTCAGACATTGAATTTCAAATGTATATCTGAATGCTAATGTGCCCACTGAGAAAGCTAGTGGTTCTGGCTACAGTCCACAAGTGTTGTCATGGCTGCATACCTCCAAGGATTAGCTGACTGTTCGGCTTCCAGTACTATTCAACAGTCCTTTGTTTAATGTCAAGCAGTGATTTATACTTTGAACAGTACTTGTGACAACCCCTATTTTTCCTCTTCTCTTAGTTTCTTTCTTTGTAGTTAAAGGGAATTTAAGTTGACATTACTACCATTACATATAGTTTTGATAACTGTCAGGACGAACCTTTATACAACAAAACAGTGTCTGCCAGCATCTTTATGTGATAATAAGGTATAATACAGTTAGTTGATAAATCCACTAACGGAATTTAATGCTTCAAAAAACAAAAAGATGTACTGGAAGAAAAACATCAGTAGAATAAAACGGGTAAAGTGTTAGAGAATCGAAAGATTTAGGGCGAGAAAAAACCCTCAACCATCGTAATTTGTTGAATTTGATTTTCGGAAGTCATCTCTACTACAACATGAAATGTTAGCTGCGGTAAAAATAAAGTAAGCTTAGGCAGATTAAGACATATTATTATTATTTATATTATTAGACCCTTGGGTTCCTAGTGGAACATAGGGCTTCAGTAGCACGTCTCCATTCCATCCTGTTCTCTGAGATCTTTTGAACCTGGTTCCACGACAGCTCACAAGCTCGCATTTCCTCCTCGTACGACCTCCTCCATGTCACCCTTGGACGTCCAACTCGTCGCTTCCCATGGGGATTCCACTCGAGGGCCTGACGCGTGATGTCCCTAGTCGGCTTTCTCAGTGCATGGCCAATCCATCTCCACTTCCTCCTGCATATTTATTGACTGATAGGTTCTTGGTTGGTTCGTTCCCAGAGCTCCTTGTTGCTTATTCTCACTATTCTGGCCATCTGATCTTCAGTAGCGAGCGTAAGCAGTTGTTGGTGAATGTCTGTAGTTTATTGGAAATCCCTTTCGTGACGCGCCAAGTCTCTGAACCATACAGAAGCACTGACTTGACGTTGGTGTTGAAAATCCGCATCTTGTTCACATTCCAGGCTGAGTGCAGAAGATCTCCACACTGGTTTCAGGCTAATGAACGCCTGTCTTGCTGTTTTTCCGATTCTGACTTTGACATCCTCGTCTGTCCCGCCTGTAGTTGAAACAGTGCTGCCTAGATAGGTGAAGGAGGTTACTTCCTTTAAGCTTCTCCCGTTGATGGTGACTGGAGTTTGTTGTTGTTGTTGGAGTTGTTGGTGTGGTATCTTCATCACCTCTGTCTTCTCTATATTCACTTGAAGTCCCGTCTTCGCTGCCTCGCCTCTTCTGCCAACTTGTTACTTTTTGCCTGTAGATCTTCAAGTTTGTGTGACATCAGACACAAGTCATCGGCGAAATCCAAGTCTTCTAGGTTCTTTTCCGCAGTCCAGCGTATCCCCCTCTTCTCGCTCCCCACTGTTTGTTGCATGATCCAGTCGACCACAATCAGGAATATCATGGGTGATAGTAGGGAGCAGTCTTGTCTTACTCCTGTCTTCACTTCAAAAGCATCACTGGGCTTCCCTTTGTGAATTACTTGGCATGTGGTGTGTTCATATAGTTGTTGAATGAGGTTGATAAAGGTTTGTGGTATTCCGTAGTAATGAAGCAGTTTCCATATTATTAATCCATAAAGTTGCATTGTGTTGGTTAGAACCGTGCAGAAGGTCGCTGGTCTTATTAGTTACTTCTGTTAGACTAACAAAATCGATGACTATGACATTTTAGCCCTTTTATAGCAACATGAAGTTGCAAAATAACAACGGATACCTGTTGGCATTTCAGGTGATGAATACTGGGTTCGAATATCAGTGGGAACAACATACTGAGGTACAGGTACATCCAGCTGACGAGTGTCAAGCAGGACAAAACGTGCGTCCTAGATTCAACTGACTGAGTGACCGACAAAATTGACGTAGAACCTTGCACAATAGTGCATCAGCTCAATTCGCCTATATTCGCAGAAGTACACAAAGAACAGGTGGATGGAAAAGGAGTGATAGCCAAGGAGGTAAAGTAATGTGAGAGAATAAATAATCATATAGCCTAACCATAGTATACAGTTTGGTTAGAAATAACTCATTCATAAAAATATCCACTTGTACTGAAGTTTGTAATCGACATTTTAATCCTCACTGGAGTGATAAAGCCACTTCAAAAGATCATGGCCGAAAACAATGAGAAAGGAAGCAAACAATAACTACAGGCATTTGATTCAAGCAGAAATAACTCCTCATCGCACTTTTGAAGGTTTGCAGCAAGTTATTTCCTTCATTAGCTAAGACCCACCAAAACAGATTATACTCTCTATCTGCACCATTTCAACGAATAGTTACAGAATACATAACGCACTGTCACATCCTCATTGAGACACTTCATGTCCTTTTTCTGCTTTCTTGTCATTAACTAACCTGCTTTAGGCATGTAGTGAGGCTCTAGCAGCTCTTTGAGAGGCTTCATTCATTACCAAAAAGCCTCAATTAGTACGTGTACAAACCTGTGACCGCAGTTATTGTGTCAACAGAATTTCGGCACAACTTGTAAATAGCAAGCTGTCATCTAATGTATGATATTTGGGAATGGAGTAAAATCTTGGTCGTGAAACGATTCAAATCAGCAGGCTCCAGGTTGCTGACACAGGGGTCCAACGACTAAGCTACAACACAGCTGTCAATCACATCTTCGATAGCACACAGAACTTCAAAAAACCACCAGCTAAAACAATGATAAAGAACTAGAAATTAACACCAGTCGAAACTTACGAAATAAATGAATATAAATCAAAGGGTTATGTCTCAAATCCAAGCAGAATAATGCAAAACATGTAAACTAAACACCAAAGTTATTGATCAAAAAAAATTCAACTATCATCAGACCAAATACTGTATTAAAAAAGTTAATTTACAAATGGCAAATACTGAGAAGAATGTTGATATTTTGAAGAGACTAGTCGATCAAATTAGATTTGTTTAAAACCATTACGTGGATTTACTATATAAACATACTGCGGCATGGAACTGATACAAGTGCACACGTCACGAATACGAACAATCATCAGGTGAAGTTAGTTAAACCAAACCAGACAAACACAAATGAGCGTTATCGAGATAACTGGCATACACAATAGCAACACTAATCATGATAATCCATCATCGATTCACATTGTATTGAAGGCAAAGATAAACACAACAGTGTAACACATGCAGTCAAGATGAAATAAACATTGAACTTTTAAATTGGGTCATTCTGTGCATATATATATATATTTGACGAAAGTGTACGCAGAATGGAATAATTTATGAGGAAGTTTCTAAATAGTTCGCACATACTTATATTAATCAATCTATATATATAAAGATAAATATGACCTTATCAAAGAGGAAAATTTTTAATCGAGTAATAAAACTGAACGGGTCTTTTCATAAAATATAATGAGTGACAAGTGTAACAAAACGCGCTACCAACCAAAACATCAGCAGCACAACTGCTTAACACAGTAACTTTCTTTAGAATCACCATAGCCAGTTCATTGACAACAGTGAACTTACTTTATTATTAAACCGATGTTGAAGGTCATTCGAAAAAACATACACCAACCATGTATGTATGTAGATTAAGATATTTAAACTGTATGATCGGGCTTGTTAATCTGAGCAATTGATGTTTAATAATAAACACGTCATGATATTAATAATATATAGTGGCTAGCGGAGGAATCCAAGACGCGAGTTTCGTCCTATTCGGAAAGCGTCAGATGGAAGTACCCGTCTCCCACTGAGTAATGTTGTTCCCATCAGTCACTTCAGATGCCACAGCGTTGTCCACCAGGACACTGAGTCACGATAGCCACTCGTTGTATGACAGGCACGGTATAATTTTCCATGTTAGAGCTTGTAAATCCCCGTTGTTGATTGCACCGAATTGATCGGCCACTATCAGCAAATGGGTTCCTGTGTGGATCCCTCAGTATTGGCGGTATTTTCAAATTCGATATTATTGACGGAGATGCACAAGCTATAACATCAAAGACTTTGCCATACTTATCGTACGGGGTAGCAAGATCGGAACTCTGAGGAATAATACAAAATATTTGTTTATTTTGTCATTTGTTCTAATATGCTACGCCTGAATTACACAAGTAAAAACACACCTTATACAATAAAAGCAGGTTGTTACAGCGAATAAAAACTGTATCCTTACATTAATTGGTAGGAATTTGTCGGCTGACCACTAACAGTCATACTATCTTTAACTGAGAATTTGTTATTTCGACGTCACACTATATTTATTTTGTTTCTGTTGTATTATTGAGTACAACTGCCTGTTAATGTCATGAGTTAGACAGAACTATTGTTCAATGTAAACTCATAGTCAGGTAGCCAATAGTTCAGTCTTTTGATATTAATTCTACTGCTCCTTGGTAGTCACTCCTGGAACACAGCGTATCAAACGTACTCAAGTTGTAAATTAAGCATTTATTTCAACTGTGAAGTTTAGTTGTACAGTTAACTAGACGTTGCTGTAGTGAAATCATGAACAAGCTCAATTCAAAGTTACGACACAGGTATTCTGTGAATATCACAACGATAGGTTTTTAGATTACTTTAAAATATGAACTAATTCCGACTGTAGAATAATTTTCAGCCTTCTTAACTACATAAGTGTACTTTATTGCCTTTCAAGTCTGCTTGATATCATCCACTAAATAGCTTCCCTCCAAAAAGCAACCTCTTTGCTAATCGATTGACAAATAGTAATCAATGAAACGCTCTAATCGCTGATATAGGTCTACGGGTTAAGTTTTCAATGTGGCCAGAAAGCTACGCAAACTGGCACTACAGTATTTGATAATCAGAGTCAGTCGTTAGACAGATTTGCTCAACCTAGTTTTCCGGATTGTTGACACTGACCAAAAAGGTGTTCTTTCAGAAACTCAAACCTGCGTCACTCAGTACCAAAGTTATAGTATTTACAGTCATGCAATTCAGGTAATGAATCCGACATTAAGTGCTTCCCACTGAACAACTTAATATTGAGCAGTAAGTTGCCTCATCATCCAAGTACTACACTATAGAACTAAGCACACAAGTTTAATCTTTTTGAATTGATCCACTCCAAAACACTACCATAAAAGCATACCAAATAGATAAGTACAAATCACTAAAAGAAATGAAAAAGCGAACAGTAGAAAACAGATAATACTTCTTATGACAAATTATTCACAGTAAGAAGGTGTATTCACGGTTTATGACAAACGCATTATTTACGAAATACAGTATTACGCTCTGTACTTCAATAACAAATCTTCAAAAAAGCAGTGATTTAAGAAAAACACAATTTTCTGTCGGACAAGTTATACCATCTAATTGATTAGAAAAATTACCTGAAACGACCGATACGTCTCAAATGTGAGAACATTTCTCCACCATTCACAAATTCTAATACCATATACAAGTTGCTGTTATCCTGTAATTGTTGGTTGGAAGGGAAAAGACGAATTAAAAGAGTGAATCATGTTTAAATCACTTATTTCATGAAATAAATGAAATTAATAGTGATAAATATAACTACAGTAATCTAGTTAAGGTGTTTGAGTTGGGTTATCCAAAGACTCATGATTCCATGAATTTGTCCGCGCCACAGTGGACAGACAGACGTCTACAAACACGACCTGGAGTTAATGCTTAACATTTCAAGTCACCACAACTCACATAAGTATGCTAAGTTCGAGAGTAACAAGATGGTGGAGAAATAAATAGAAATGACATAGGAATAACTCGTTTGCAGCTGCTACCGTAGCGTAGTGATTGAATTCGCCTCTTGTAATCACCCACTTGAGTTGTACTAACTAGAACGTTTGTTCCTTGGAGTCCTGTCATGTCACAATGGTAGACTACAGCAGAATGTAGCTAAATTCACGACCAAAATACTAAGAAACAAAACTCCAGCGTAAAGTGGTACGGTGTGCCCCAAAGACCATCAGTACCTGTGGCTGCGCTAGGCTGGTTCGGTTAGAGGAAAGGGATAGAATAAGTCTATTCTAAAAGGCACAACCCGCCTTTCCAAATGAATTTCGATAAGAGTGGTGGAGTCACACCGAAAGACGCAGAAGATAATCTGGATAACCTGAAGTTTAGGCCATAATAGCAAATTTCAAAAGACAAATAATTACAAATAACTCCATTTTCTAGACTACAGATTTATGTCAGTTTCATAAAAGTGAACAGTACTACTTGATTGACAAAACAGAAAGGATTAAGAGGGGTTCACATAGGCGATAGGGAGATTCGTATCTCTAAAAGGTATTTAAAAATGAGTACTATTATTATCACCTTTGTCTCGGAAGATATAATACTGGTAAGACTGTTCAAAATTAGTTGAATACATTCAATCCTAAATGGATATTTGCACTTCTTGTAAAGCAAACGTTGATGAACCACCCATAGCTTACTCCACAATCCAAAAATTTTAAAGCTCACAGATAAAATAGCAATCTCTGGCCTAATTTTGTTACAGTACGCTCAAATCTCAGCCGATTAAAAGATATCTGCGAACATTTTAGGCAGTTTAAATAGCAATGAATAAATGAATGCAATTTGGTGATTGACTATCACGACTGATGGAAGTCCTGGAGTGAAGAAAAGAAATGTTACTTATGCATGTCACCGCTGGCCACCACTGAGCAAATTTTTGAGTGGATTAAACGATAAATAATAATCCCCATTAACCTCAGACTAAACAACTGTAAAATAAATCTGCTTTCATTTTGGTCACCTCATTCTGCTACGTATGAAATAAGATTTTACCAACAAACTGACAAACTCAAGATGCCGAAAAAGACAAACTCTACCTTTAGATGCTAACTATGCACCATCCATCTTTCAGAGACAACTAACAGTGATAGGGGATTTCAGCTCTCTTGCTCAGGCTAGTTAGCATTTGTAAGCTCTTGCAGTACATATATTCGAAGTAGCCTCCATTTCGGAAGAAACAACAACAATTTTTTCTGTATACCTGGAGAAAAAGCTGAAAACTTCTTGACTTAATACAGTATATGACTCTAATTAGAACGTTATTTTTTGCCCTTCACTTGGAAAGCAATTTTTAGGGTAGTATACCAAATCAGGTATCTCTAGTTGAGTATGCCTTCTACGTGTCATGTCACGAAACACATTACTAAGCAGCATTTCAAAACGTTCCACATTGATACCATACACCACCAGTCGATCGTAAGGCGTAATTTGAGTTTAAACAGGAAGAGAACCTAAGAATGACCTAAAAACAATTGAAAACGGTTGATCAGAAAATCGACTGCTGGAGGAAACTATACAAGGAAGCAGAGTCTGTTTGGATGAGGTTTTTCAACCTGTCACTAATTAATATCTGAGCAACATCACTGATGTCGTTTTAGGTCGATCCCAATGACACAGATGCATTCACTTCTTGTTATCAAGATTCTGAAGATCCTTTAGTGTCTAATCTCTCACCTCATTTTCTTTTCATCTATTTTGACTTTGTTGTATTTCGTTTCTTGGTTTTCTCTCTGCTTTTATGAAAAGCACGACTATTGGTACCCCTGCTTTCTTGTGTAGGTATCTACGTTACTTTGACATGACCTCATTTCAATCTTTGTAGAACACATGCTATTTACAGGAGGATGTTCGCAACACAGTTTATTATCACAGTCACATCGAAGTGATCCCACAGCTTTTTGGTCCAGTTGATACGGTTCTATTGCTCTCCTTATTTTGATTTTAATGGATAAAGAACTTTCCATATAACCGGGATTAAAGTTGAATCATTGTTATCCCACGTGCAAAGCGTTGATTCAATGAACAACGATTCAGTGATCAAACTCTCACCTCACCCAACTGTATTAGTCTTTAGAACCATTACTCTATCCCACTATATTGCATAATTGTTATCGCATGCAAAAATATGGCTATTTTTTATCTAGACTGCTTGTCTTGGTGGGGTTTACCACTGTAAATTGGACCAAATTTTCATGATTTGATAATCTGATTGGTTCGAATAGGCTAGTTGGACCTATATAATGGATCTCAAAATCATTACATGACACCTGGTAAATAAACTTATTTTGTCTCACTGGCTAAATAATATCCTGAAGTCGAAAAACTTTGTCTCTTGTTGAATTTGAATTCCAGCCGTATTAAGTATCCTACGTAAACCTTTCAGTGTTCATCCCTCATACAGAAAACTCTAGCACAGTTAAAATCAAAGAATGAAAAGTAATAGTGCTGTATTAACTAATTTGCATGATTTTAAGTAACAAACTGCTACTGAGAAGTCATTCGGTGAACAACTAATCCTGTATCATTATGTGTTGAATTAGATAACCTAAACAAATAGCAATAGATACTGTATAACAGTGCTCAGATTCTGCTTTTATGTCCTACATTAGTCTCTTTTAAACTGTACTTAATGTCAAGCTGTAATTTATTGATATCAGCAGCTAGAAATTATCTAACAGATCATAGGTTTCTATGATGTTTAGACTATTTTGGTTTGACAAACGGATAATATCACTAGTTGTCATACGTTAGCCTCGGTTCGCACAATAAGCAAACGAGCTTGCACTTGTAATCAAGTTGTATACTTTGGCTGGATGGAGGCGATCGGCAGGATACCCTGAACCTCGGTTTCATCCCTGTTGGCATTCATCAGTAAAGCGTATCTGCAACCTCAAGCGAACTTATGTCCTGACTGAGACTCGAACCCACATCATCCAGTATTGCAGTTAGCGACGTTATCACTGAGGTATGCGGGCCCCAGCAGACCTTCTGTGGGAATGGGATACATATATTGGTTGGTCACTGGAGAGTAACCAATTTCATGTTATCTAATTCTGAGTGCTAACCGAATTCTGTCAGACATTTGTATGCAGTCCAGTTCTAAAGGAGGCCAATTGCAACCCGAATCGCTCAACAGTAACGTCGCTAACTGCAACAGTGGGTGACGTTGGTTCAAATCTCACGGGGGTCATCAGTTCCCCCGCGATTGCAGATACGCCTCGCTGACGGGTGCCAACAAGCACTAAACCTGAGCCCAAAATTTCCTGCAGACTGCCTCCAACTACCTAACATCTATCACAGTGCAGCGCGACGATGAGTCTCCTAGCTGGATGGCCACATTGTAAACTGATCGATAGAATTCGGTCAGTGCTCGGGACTAGACAACATGAGATTGGTTGCTCTGCAGTGACCAATCAATGTACGAGTTGTATATCCATGTGTCTACCTCACTTCTAAAGGCTGCTTTCAATAGTATTCCGAAGTAAATATGCATGCATTGGGGCAATTAAACTCATGTATTAAGTTCTTGGGTCATTGCTATTATTTGCTGATATTCTCTTTAGCCATATTGATTGTAGTAATGCTTCACATAATCACCCTATGTTTTTCAAATATCGATGATAAGCTTTACTTTGATTAGTTTAAAATCTATAGTCAATAAACTTTGCTTTCATTGATAGAGGGAGAGACTAAAAAAATCTTTATTAGTTCCACAGACCAAAAAGAAAATGCAATTAGTGAACACATTTTGGTGAGATATTGATAATGAAATAGGCACTATGACAGAAAGCCGATATTCGTTGAACTTCAGCAATAATGAACAATATCGTCTGTAAACACATTTGATAAGGGAAAGTGATCATATTTAACCACACTAAATATTGTACACTTATCGCTCCATAACTGATACTAGGCAACACGACATCTGCCTCCTTAAAGGAGAGATACTCACGCCACACTCCGAAGAAAACTATGCTTAATTTAGTTGGTCAGTATTATTTGGTTCATGTTCACTTATAATTTGTGCACTATAGTAGAGAAGTGTGGCAACTTAAACTGATGTATTTCTGCGCAACATCCTGCATACAATTATCTGTTTGAAATTATGGTGGTGATTGCTATCCTACTGTTTATAATACTCATTGCAAAGGTGCATCTAGTATCTTGAAAACGAAAACCAAGTCATTTTGACTTTATATCATTAAGTAACTATAAAATTTACACTGTTATTTGTTTCCACTGCATTAAAAGCTATAAATGTAATACTTAAAATCTAAATCCTACAATGAATATACGTTCTCGTTAACAACAACAACAACTGGTAAAAAAATAAGTATGCATGAACTCTCCCTCTTCTTTTTGGATAAAGCGATATCTCTTTAACAACCTGCTCAAATTATGTTTAGTGATGACCGAACTAAATCACCTCATCAGTCACTGAAAGTAATCCCTGATAAGTGATGCTAACTGTGTATAGAAACGAAGGGTCCATAAGGAAGCTGAAATAAGTGTTTAGGGGTAGTTAGTGAACGCATTCATGTACCATGTGATATTGAATTGTGATATCATGGAGAGTTATTTCCTTTACTTTCTTTTCGTTTCTTCTTCCAGCTTTCCATGACCTGTGATATCATTGTTTTCATCGTTTTTTCT